ATATTTTTGAATATTTGCGTTCGATGATAATATCTATGCCAATAGATTTATCGAATAGAAAAAAAACGCTAAAAACTTAAGAGAGCATTTTGGTACTAAAAAATTTGTATGGGTTTTCTTAAAAAATGGTTTGGATGACAGTGAAATAAAAAATAAAATAATAATAATGTTAATAAAAAGAATAATTCGTTTTGAATAACGATCCTATAAAAAAGATGTGATATTCATTTAAAAGAAAAAAGATAAATAATCTGTGTCTATATTTGAACCTTAAAAAAAAAAAAATTCAAAATAACGAATTTTTACGCGATAAAGAAGATAACCCATCATAATTTGTGGATACTCCCGAATTATACCCATAACTGTAACTTCGCGTGGATGTATAACGTGAGTTGCTCGAAGGAAAATCGACAGTAAATAACGGAGGTGATAATAAAGGATTGTTGTTACTACTGAATTGATTGTTGCTGCTACTACTAGTAAATTGATTATTGCTGCTAAATCCTTGAGAAGACGAAGCTGATTTAGCTGACATATTGACTATGCAAGGACATAATTTTCTGAAATCATATGTTGCACTTAATGGACTACAATTACAATTACAACTAGAAGTAATTGGTGATTGTGCTGGTGTCATATATGAAGTTGTAGTAGCAACTATATTAGATGACATATTTGATGACATATTAGATGTAGTCATATTTGATGTCGTCAAATTAGATGTCGTCATATTAGATGTTGTCATATTAGACACATTAGATAAATTAGATGACATAGACATAGACACATCGTTTCGAGGAACAGGTAAAATTCTTGCAATATCGGTGTTTATAGAGAAAGGAACACGTTTCGGTGTTGGTTTAACCAATATTGGATGTGATGAATTAGCATTGGTGGTATTCAAAATCGATGAATGATTAAGAATTGCATTAATCGAAGTTACGGGTACATATGAATTTGAAGTTGTTGATGTTGTTATTGATGTTGTTGTTGATGATTGGGAATCTTGACGTTGAATCGATTGTTGTGAAGATGAAGAAGATGAATTGTTCGTAACACGACGTGATTTCTCTCCTGATAAAGATTTTGTTGTAGATTGTTGTGATTGTCTACGACCAAAAGTTTGAACAAAATTCATTCTAAGTAATTGAGGTCTAAATGAAGGACCATTATTTTTAGCGAATTCTGTTTTCTTTCTTAAGGAAAAAGCTGAAGTAGTATGTTGGGTGATACGTTCTTTATTAGTTAGAACGGGAAGCCAAAGAAGAGCTGTTGGTGGATGAATAAAAGTTTCTTCACCACTTCCAGGGACACCTTCTGTACAAACACAATAATTTCCCATAAAATAAACCGGACGAAAATTGTTGCGTTTACGAGTAGTTGTAGTAGTATTGGTGGTGGTGGTGGAAGAAGAATTTGTTGAATCATCAGTTGAATTACGATTTTGCATAAATTTCTTTAAATCATCAATTAAATTAATTAAATTTCTGTACATCTTTTTAACTTTTTTATCACTAGAACTTTTTAAAGATCTAGAATTTTGTTCAGCTGTTAAAAGACCTCTAATTATATCTAAAGGATCATTTGAATTTGTAATCTTTTTACAGAAATCTAACATCATTAAATTTTCATGATGATTAACATTATAAGAACCATTAGCTTCCAATGATGCACCAATTACTGATAATAATTGTGGTAACCTATCAACTTCCCGTTTAACAATATCACAAATATCTTGAATGGCAAGAATATTATGTTCAAAACATCTTAATTGAATTCGATAAAGTGATCTTGAACAAAGTAACATTAAAGCAAAATCGTGTCGTTCAGGTGAAATTTCATCGAAATCTATCAAACATTTTTGTTCTTTAGATGTTAATCTACTCTTTACTTTGGGCATTATGAAAAAGGGTCGTGGAATAGAAATAAAAATAAAAATAGAAATAGAAATATAGAAACGAAGAAAGAATAAAAGAAAAAAATTGATAGCTCGGAAAATCGTAAAAAAAAAAATAAAGAGGAATTTTTATAAAGGTATAAAAAAATTCAAATTTACAAAAAATGAATCTTTTTTCTACCAAATATGATATATGATTAAAATACGGTAAAGAACTTTGACGGGATCAACGAATTCCGTGGCGGGAAATTGAAAAGACAAAAATTAGCGGGTATTTATAAGAAAAAGAGATTGTTTTGTTCTTTGATTAATATACAAAAAAACGTACAAAACGTTTAATAAACATAATAAATAAACAAATAAATAGGTATGATTATTTATTGACGTGGAGAACGAACAAAAGAAAAATAAGAAAAAAAAAGCGATCAATCGTAGTAACCAACAAAAGAATTCACGATACGATTATCCTGGAAAAAAAAATAAACGACATGAAAACAGAAATGAATTTGTGAAAAAAACCAATAGATGATTGAAAAAAGCAAGTAATATTTCGAATTCGCAGAAACCAAGGAGTTGAACAACTTGATCCCTGCTTTATAATAATTTTTTTTTTTTTTTTTTTCTTTTACGCAATAATTAATTAAACGATTTAATACTGTATATAACTGTATAATATATCAGATATATTATAATAAATAAAATAAAATAAAATAAAATAAAAAATAAAATAAAATAAAATAAAATAAAATATAAAAAAAATTTGCCGCGAAATTTTTTGTCATTATTAATGCTATTAATTTTGTATTACATATTTGACGACAATAAAGTTTATCGATGACGTCTTACGAGATCCTCATGTTTATACCTTTTACATTCTTTTGTTCACCTTTTATGTTCTTTATGTTTAGTAAACAAAAGCATTTTGATTTTTTTGTATTGCATGCTAAGACAAAAGACATGGATCTGTCACGTGTTCACGAAACAGTTTAGTCGAAAAGAACATTGTTCTACAATTTTTATTATTATTATGAGCTAAAATAAACCTACACAATAAGACCAAAGTCAGAAATTATGTACCCATTAAAACCAAAGTATTGATCACAGATGTCATTTTTAGATCTATTGAAAAAATTTATTGGCATTGTCGCCACCTTTTGAATTAGGTGAATTAGGGGTTTCGCTTACCAATTGTAACATGGTTCTTTGTTATTGAAGGTTTATTAGAGCTTTTTTAATTTCGATAATTTCGATATTTTCGATAATGAAAAAAGAAAGCATTTATGCTCAAAATTGGAAAAGTTTGTGTGGGTTACACTTTAATTGGTCTATAATAAAATACAAAAAAATTTTATACTTGAATTACTTTTTATCTTACATTATTAGGCTATGATCTTATTTTTAATTGCCTAACCTAAATAAATAAATACCCTTACCCGGTAAAATTTTCTAACAATAAACATGATAATACAAATTTACGTAATGCATATTTTTCGGATATCCATAACAGATAACAGATAACTGTATTTACGTATATGGTATCTGGTATTTACTCAATCACTTTTAACACATCAATAATATTTTTTTGAATATTGATCGTTGATAATCATTTAATTTTACGCGACTTGGAATGAATAAATTTAATTTAATTTAATGATATAAATGATAATAAATGATAATAAATGATAATAAATGATAATAAATGATAATAAATGATACGTTAAAAAAATTATTATTAACCATATCTAATTTTTATTACTATAAAAATTCATTATTTAAAAAAAATTATCATTCACTATCCTAAGTTTATTTAAAATGGAAAAATATTGAAATAACAATATTTAATGAACTTATTATCATCCAAAAATTATTTAAAACCGAACAATTAAGATGTAAGGGAAGAGAAGTACTAAAAAGTAGGGGGTTAACTATGTATTAATAATATTATTAATATTATTATTAATATTATTAATAATATTATTTAATAATAAGACCATTCATCGATCGATCGATAAACACACAAAGCTAACTGATAAACTTACGTACAAAAATCTCATTAATAATATTAATAATATGCAATGGTTATTAATAACACGCGAAAGCTATTAATATTAAAATGAATGAATGAATTTTTCAAAAAGGAAACAAATTGAAATTTCCTTAATTGATGAGACCCTTATTATTTCTTTGGATCGTTGGTTAGTTGAGATTTATTCCCACATGAACTACATCATGAACTACATTAACGGTGACAAAGATATTCATTGATGTTCGAATTCTATTTATACTAAAGTTTCGACTATTATACACAAAAAAAAAACACCTAGGAATTCAAAAAAAAAATTTTGATTGATGTTAGAGTTATCCATAAATTATTAATAAATTATTAATAAATTATTAATAAATTATCAATGTGGCGAATGAATGCGTCAAAAAGGAAACGAATTATATCTCAAAGGTATTTGATTTTATTAATGTTTACGTATTCAATAACTTAAAAAAGCAAGTTCATGTAATCGTGGAAATCTTAAAGTTATTTGATTGGTTTTTATCACCTATTGTTAAATGACTGACCAATAGAGAATAAGCGTGTAACGTATTAGCACGTGCAGAGCTAGCTAGCGTTAGCAAAAAATTTTCCAATAATAATCCAAATAATAATCTAAATAATAATCGAAATAATAATCCAATAATAAATATAACAGATAACATTAGTTCAATAATTATCGTTATGCCACTAATATTATTACATAACACAAATCTTTTTTACGTAGAACCAATTAAATGTTTTGCAGTCGTTATTGTTCCTGGTTTTTTTTTCAATTTACGTAAAGCAAAATTTATCGAGTGCATTTCTTTTAACTATTTAGCATTCATAAAACAAGATCATTGTATGGTTCAAATATCTTTTACTTTCACTACGCCAAAAAAATTTTTTTTCTCTCAAGAATCTTTTTTTTTTTTTGCTATTTTTTTTTTTTTGATAGCTTTATTTTTTTCTTTGCTGTCATATTTGATTGTTTGTGTCTTTTGTTGACCAGGTAATAAACACACAATGATAGGTTGTCCGAATACATGTAATTAATACGTATAAAATATCTTTATAAAAAATCTCTCATCTTTGGGAATTTTAATACTACGTATAATACGTATGAAATACGCTGTATCAAATTAAAAAAAAATCCAATGCATTACATTCCATGATGTAAATCTAATTTTCTAAATAGAATTTATAATAATGTATTATTAGATACAGTATATCGATATAGTTTTGTTTATTTTCAAAGTTTGGTAAAAATAGTAAAAATCGCTGGTCATTGGTCGAATATTAATTGATTTTTGTTGGTCTGGTTAGTATGGTTTAATTCTTGCCTATCGCTATTAAAAATTTTCCGTTAATACAATCGTATAATCGTTGATATCTAATTTGACAGAAAGATTATATATTTAGTTTGACAGATTTGAAAGATAGATCTCAAATTTGCTATTTCATTGGCTGCTTAGTTTCATTGGCGTTAGCGTTAGACCTTTAACGTTAACCAAAGCTGACTTGTTGTAATAATTCACGTTGTACGAGTTTGTGTTTTGGGAAACCATGTAATTGTTCCTACTACTGTACTAGTTCTTTTTATTGGATGATCTTAACAAGTCGAGCAAATAAAGAAAACTATCGATTAAAAAAATCATTTCTTAATTTTATTGTATATATCAAGTAATAGTAATAGTAATTATCAAGTATATATTTGAAAATAATTTAATAAACTACCCACCATAGCGACAGCTTATTTTACACTTACTTACTTACGTACGTACGTATCGGTATGAGGATGCAATGCGATTCTATAACAACTTTGCCGAAAGAAAATAATTCTTTCAAATACAAAGGGTCATCCTGGTAAAAAGTTCTCGTTTGCTTCGTATTTTGGAACAATTTTGATACTCATTGTAAAAAGTTCTCGCTTGCTTCGTATTTTGGAACAATTTTGATACTCATTGTAACCATTGGCTCGCTTTATAATAAATACTTACGTTAATATTTGATATTCAAGTCGGATTGATGCCATATAGTCTCCAGGAAGGGTGAACTGCATAAACTTTGATAAAGAAGAGAACAAAAAAAAAAGAAACAGGAATAAAAAAAAATGCGATACTTATACTGTTACGGATTCATTTGGTTTATATTGTAGCCAATTATATATTTTTTTGCAGCATTCAAAAATCCCCTACCTGAATATTCATTCATAAATGACAAGAACCTGATTATGATTGATTATATCTTTATATATTAAATGCAAGTGATTTAGTGATCGTGATTCATTAATGCAATTAAGATTCTCAGGAATACCATTATAATCGCTATGATACGACTAATTTTCTTTTTGAAAATAAATCAATAAAATGTTCTAAGTGACAAGTATTACTTGTTTAGTTTTTAAATTGATAAATTTTCCATTCTAAAAATTCATTGATTTCATAAATTTCGTGAGTATTACAAATTTCCAGTTCTATGCGTTTGTACATACAGTCAGTCACGTCCATGATTATTTATGAAGGGTATACATTTTAATCTATATTTTAGCATGTAATATATGGGAGGGCCCCACAGCAAAATCAGCCTTCAGGTCAACTAATCAAAATTTGTGATTTTATAGTACAGTATATAATTATCTAGCAATTTTTAATTTTTTCGAACTTTGATAGAAAATATCTCAACATCCATCTGATCAAATTCAACGAATTTTCTTTTTTTTTTTTAAATTCCACAGACTTCTACAATTCAAATAAAGAAAAGTTTGTCGAATTTGGTCAAGCAATCAATTTTTTTGTAATTTTGAACGTCTATTAAATAGAAACTGCGTTGCAGATTGTTGTAAAAATTGATCAAAGATATCTTGACATCCCCTGAAAAAATTCGATGAGCTTTTTCTTCTTTAAATTCTACAGAGATTTCTATAATTAAAATAAAAAAAAAAACTCATCAAATTGATCAGGTGGTTGTCAAGATATCCTCGATCAAAGTTTTTGTAAATTTTAAACGTCTATCAAATAGAAGTCATATTGTGAAACTTTGAGCAAAGATATTTCGACATCCACCTAATCAAATTCGATAAACTTTCTTTTTTCTTTAAATTCTACATATTTCTACATATTTCTATTGTTAAAATAAAAAGATGTTCATCAAATTTGATTAGATGTTGAGATATCTTTGGGTGCAAATGAAAACACGTATAATTTATTTATACCATGCGATGACCAGGATATCAACAGGTGTGGCATGCAGTGTAACACTACAGTGAAAACGATCGATTACAACCAATCAAAATACAGGATTGGAAATAACGTGATCAAGATGTTTTATGAAAGGATTGAGTTGATTGATTTATTGATTATATAGCATATAATCGTAAGTAATTTATTGATTATAGCATATAATCGTAAGAGCATGAAGTAATTCTTATTACCTAAAATTTTAATGGACCAATATCAGTAATGTATGATCAGAATATATACTATATATTACGATTTCTTAAATTTAACTTTCTTAATTTCGGTCAGCACTATGATAATTCTGGCCACAAATCCACACTGCATATCGATATAAGCCAATCAGCGTGAGATTTGCAATAACGATAATCACATCGGGAATAAATTGAAGTCCTATCTGCTTCTAAAAAAAATAAAATGGAAATCGTTGAAAGAAATAATGAAATTCCGGATTTTTTAAAGCTTATAAATGAATTAAAAATTAAAGCTAAAGGCATAAAAGAACAAATTAGTATTACCACAGAAAGGTGAGAACGATAAATTATATGTACTATATTCAGTGTACAAAAATTCAATTTCTCAAAAAAGCATTCAAGAATTTACTTCTTTTAATATAGATGTAATATTCTCAAACAAAGAAAATCTATCTTAAAATTTGATTAACGTTCTCTAGAACATTAAGAACATTAAGAACATTGAGAACATTGAATTTTGTATGCATAAAGTTTAGTTATACAAACAAATTAATAATTTTATTCAAAATAGAGTTAATAATCATTCACTGAAGACTAATTGCGGTGTATCTTTGCTTGATGTTAAAAATCATACGCTCCTTCAATACATTACAAACTTAGCTTTCCTAATTCTCCTGAAATTAGATGGAAAATCAATATCTGATCATTCTGTCATTTCAAATCTGGTGGAGTTAAGAATAATTTTGGAAAAGATTAAACCTGTTGAACAAAAATTAAAGTACCAGATAGATAAATTGATAAGAGCTGCAACAATTGAAAACATTGAAGAGAATAATGCTAATTTAATGACTAGTAATAGTATGATAAAAATAATTTTCCTTATCATTACGCATATTTTGTGATCGAACGCGTTTATGAACATCTTTTTTTTTGTACCTTACAAAAAGCTGCAGTAGCTGATCCTCTATCTTTTAAGCCAAATTTGCAAGATTTTGTTTCAAAAGTTGATGATAAGGACGAAAAAGGTAAGAGATCTTTTCATGTATAGTATATTTTATTATATATATAATAAAAATATTTTTTATTTTAAATATAAAAAAATTGATAATGATAAGGTTGAGATATATAAGGTGCCAAAACTAGCGCCCGTGCATTTTGATGAAGGTAAAAAAAAAAAAAAATACCCGTGTAGATTATATATATTTTTATGGGGTTTCTCATAGTAATCTGTTGATAGGAAATCATTCTGTGCGCGAAAAAGATCAATCACGTCTTATTGCTAGAGCATCAAAATCACGTATAATGAAGGATCTCATCACAGAGTTTGATGATAAACCAGAAGAAATTGATGCGACCGGTGGTGTGCGCGCAGAAATGATGTATGATAAACGAATAGAGGAAAAACTTGCCGAACGTAATCGTTATGAAGAAGAAAATTTTATCAGATTACAAATTCCAAAGAAAGAGCTTAAAAAATTAAAGAATAATTCAAGAAAACTTGTGGATGATTTTGAGGTAATTTTACATTTCAACTTATTGCTCTTCACAAGTTTAATTAATTTTTTTTATTTCATTATTTCCTATAGAATTTGAATGATTTTAACAGTTTAGCAACCATCCAAGAAGATGTTGATTCCCTTGAAAGACAGAGAACAAATGTTTTAGCCAGGCGCAACGCTCGTCATGAAAAGTACAGTGGATCCGATAATGAGGTGTGAATTTTACCTTTACTTTGATGCGTAAAGCTCGCATTATTAACATTTATTATTTATCTAATCTGCACTTTATTGAATAATAATTAAAGGATATTTTATATAAATCCCAGCCTCACGAAGAGCACATAAGACGCAATAAACAAGAAACATTTAACGGTTTACTGGATGGTTCGCCGAAAAATAAAAAAAGAAAGAATAAATTTCAAAAAGCCAAAAAATATATTAAATCACAAAAACGCAGACGTGTTTAATAACTTATATCAACCTTAAAAAATAAATATAAAAAAAAATTATTTTAATATTTATACAAGTCACTCTTGTTATAGTGAAATTGTTGGGCTGAAGGGTTTTCTTTACTATATCGAGATATTTACTATATCAAAAGCTCTTGATATAGTAAAGTTTATATTTAAAATAAAAAATCTTTATTATATCAAGTGACTTTTATATTAAAAACTTTTAAGTTTATTTACAAATTTAAAAATCTTCACTATATTGAGAGAATATTTAAATTAATATAATTGGCTAAAATAGTTTTTGAAATAAATTTTCATTATAGCAAGAGTAAATTTATTATAAATGTGTTATATTTTTTTAAAAAAATCTTCATTATAGCTTATATTGAGAGTTTATTATTAAAACTTCATTATATCAAGTGAAACATTAATAGTTTTGTTCCAAAAAAAATTTTCACTACATATAAGCTAATCTTCACTATATTGAAAATTCACTATAACAAGAGTAACTTGTATATAGAAATTTATAATTAACTATATTATACTGTAGTGAGTATTAAAAATTACAGTATATATGTTGTGCTATCTATTCAAGTTGCTACTTTAGATATATAAAGTAGCAACTTCAGATACTATCCTATTTGAAGTAGCTTTTTTAATATTTAAAGTAGCTATTTTACAGTAAATATCTAAAGTAGCTATATATTTTAAATATTTAAAGCAGTTACTTTAGATAGAGTAGTTATTTTAGATATTTGAAATTGTCATCTAGTTGAAGTAACTACTTAAATAGTTGCTTTAGATATTTAAAATTATTAAATATTCAAAATTATTTATTATAAAACACACCTATAGTAGTTTTACTTCAAAAAATCAATTATATAAAGTTAATAATAAAAAATCTTTAATTAACTTTAAAGTTATACAACAAAACTCTTTTTAACAATCACTTGAACCATATTTTCCAAAAAATCATTTATTAAGAAAAAATATAGTACACTAGTACAGTGTTGTATATAGAACAATTTTGGACAATTTTGACCATTTTTTCAAATTAAAATTACTCAAAATTTTATTAAGATAATCTATTTTAATTTTTTCACCAATGAGTCCAGCACCTAAAAAAATATACAATTATGTATTTTTTTAAATTACTTTATTGATTAGTTAAATATGGGACATAGGTTTGGACAATTTTGGACAATCTTGGACGTTGAACATTTTATATAGTGTGGACACGTCCCATGTACAACACTGCACTAGTATATAACCCAAAGGGTTTTAATATAAGTTATAGAAAAAGGGCTATAAGACAGCAGCTATTATTTATCATATACTTGCTAATAGTTTTAGAGTTTATTACTTACTACAAGTACAGCACTTGTCGCTTAGAAGTAGTTCTCATATGCTACTTGCTAACAAGCCCAGAGTTTATCACTTACTGAATAGACTTAGTATTATGCAGGCTTCAGTAGAAAGTTGATCTTAGTAAAAGAAAATTTATACTCTTTTAAGTGGTCTCAAGTTTTCTCTCTTCTTTTTGCCATTTGTTGATTTTACTAAAATTTTCAAAAAATATAGACATTCTAACTTACCCTTTTCAAAATATTGGCATTGTTTACACCTATCTAATTCAGACAAACTCAGTAGAATGCAATTATAAGTTTGTTTTGTTTATCAATATAGTGCTATGATATGGGGAAGAGACCAGTACCCCTGTTTAGAAGATATCTGATTCTAGTTATATGTCTAGAATGATGTCTTTAACAATAAAGTGAAGCTTTACAATTGAGATATATTGATTAGTTGCAATTAGTATATAATTTTTTAATGTCTAGCATGGGCTTTAATAATGTATTTTCTGGTTTTCTGTTCTTTTATTTGTATGTCAAGACTATATAGTCCTTTTTTTTGCTTTTTTCATCTTCATCTATTTATGATAGAACTATATTTAGAACATACTTTTTATATATATATATATT